TATAACTAAAACATACCAGGTTTTTGGCAAAGCAGACAATTGTAGAATCCCTGATTGACCAGGTCCCATAATAACTATCTCATTATTAATGGCTCTTAAATCTTGCAATAATCTCCATTTACCAGATTTCTTTTTGATGACAAAAATAGGAGTATTATGGGGAGATACAGAAGGTTGTATATGTCCYTCCACTAATTGTTGTTTGACCAAGTCATGGCTGCTTGTTACTTTTCTTTAGTCAGGGGCCACTGAGGGACCCATACTGGGCTTTCTGATTTCCAAGTAATTTTTATTGTCTCAGTGACCCCTCCTGAAAACCCAATCCTTGTCTATCTATTTCTTCATCTATTTGTATTGGTGCCACTATACTTTGTCCTTTTTCTTCCAATACTTTTCCTTTCCTAAAACCTTGTCTAGCCATAATAGTGGACGCATTTGAATTAATGTTGTTAATGTTAGTCCTAATTGATGAAGGACATCTCATCCCCATAAATTTATAGGAAGATGATCCAATACATATGGCTGTATAGTTCCTTCACATCCTTCAGGATCCTTCCAATCTAATACAATCACACTTCTATGGGGATTAGTTGCCACTCCTAGTCCTCGAAGCATTTGAGTGGCTTGTTGTAATGGCCAATGTTTTGGCCATTCTTGATGAGAGATCATGCTAAGATCTGCACCTGTATCCAGTAGCCCATTAAATTCATGTCCTTGAATATTTAGTTTTATCATGGGGCGAGAATCTAAATTTAAAAAAAGTATAGCCCAATCTACACCTGTGGAGCCTAATCTCCTGGAACCTCTTTCTATAGTACAACTGGAAAATTTATCATGTGGGCTGCGTATTATTAATAATTATGCTATTCTATCTCCTGGTGAAATTACTGATATACCCTTTGGAGAAGTGGCTATAATTTTAATTTCACCTTCATAATTGGGATCAATTACCCCAGGACTTATCATAAGTCCTTTTGGAGTAGAAGAACTGCATCTCAATAATAAGCCTACTGTTCCTTTGGGACGAGGTCCTTTTACCCCTGTGGGAATGATTTGAACTGCCATCTCTGGAGTTAGTACTGTTCTGGCGGAGGTGCAGATGTCCAATCCTTCACTTCCTGTGGTTTGTCTAGTGAGGGATCTAATGGATAATGTGTCCTGGGCACTACCCTGATAGTGTTGCTGGGTTCCTCCAGTGCCCCGTATATTTGTGGTCTTGGGCCCCGGAGCATTGGGCATGAATCTTTCCAGAAGAGTCTTCCCARACCTTATAAAAAACTGGGAAAATTAGAAGACTTCCCACATTAATCACATTCTCAGGGCTTCTCTCTGTATTGTCATATATGAGAAGGAAAGCAGGGCTGGGATGGGAAGCTGACAGAATGTACCCAATCTTCCTCATTCTGAGGTTTGTTTTCCAGTGTGAGTGAAATGACTTTGAAGGCAACAGGAAAAATGGAATTTTCCAAATTCTTCACATTTAAAGCTTTATTCAGTTGGATCTAGTAGTGTTTGCCATTAATCCCAGAGATTCGGGGTCTGAGGCAGAAGGATCACAAATGTGAAGCCAAACTCAGCACCTAAGCAAGGCCCTAAAGAACTCTGCAAGTCCCTCTCTCAAAATAAAAAGGAAAAAAGTTGTGGCTCAGTGATAGATGACCACCAGACAAAATCCCCAGTACTATAGATAGATAGATAGATAGATAGATACATAGATAGATAGATAGATTGATTGATTTGGACATGTGAGCACTTTTTTCACTTTGACAAGAAATATTGATTTCCCACATTTCACATTCAAACAATTTTTCTACAGAAAAATTACTACATGTTAAAGAGTGAAACATTATTTTTTTTTAAAGAGAAAGTGAGAGAGAGAGGGGGACAGAGAGAGAGAGAGAGAATTTTAATATTTATTTATTTTTTCTTAGTTCTCGGTGGACACAACATCTTTGTTTGCATGTGGTGCTGAGGATCGAACCCAGGCCACAAGCATTCAGGTGAGCGCGCCACCGCTTGAGCCACATCCCCAGCCCCGAGTGAAACATTATTAAAGGAAGACTTTGCCAATTGTTTTCATGAGTAYGATTTCTCTGCACTATGGGTTCCTTCATGTAAGTGAAGCTGAGCAGATGTAACAAAGGCTTTTACACATTGTTAACAACCATAGAGCTTCTCTCCAATATGTGTTCTCCCATGTCTTTGAAGGTCACTGGAACTAGCAAAGGCTTTGAAACACCTCTTACACTCATAGGGCTTCTCCCCAGTATGCATTCTTCTATGAATCTGAAGGTAACTGGATGTACAAAAGGCTTTGCCACACTGCTCACACTCATTGGGCTTTTCTCCAGTATGAGTTTTTTCATGTTTGGCAAGGTCACTGGAACTAGCAAAGGCTTTTCCACACTGCTTACATTCATAGGGCTTCTCCCCAGTATGTTTTCTTCTGTGTCTGTAAAGGCTACTGTATGCAGCAAAGGCTTTGCCACACTGCTTACATGCATAAGGCTTCTCTCCAGTATGAATTCTCTTATGTAAGTGAAGCTCAGAGGAACGAGCGAAGGCTTTGCCACACTGCTTACATGCGTAAGGCTTCTCTGCAGTATGAATTGTTTTATGTGAGTAAAGGCCAGAGAATTGAATTAAGGCTTTTCCACACTGCTTACATTCATAGAGCTTCTCCCCAGTATGTGTTCTTCTATGTCTCTGAAGGCTAATGGATCTAGAAAAGGCTTTGTCTCACTGCTTACATTGATAAGGCTTCTCTCCACTATGAAATGTTTTATGTGAGTGAAGGCCAGAGGAATTAGTGAAGGCTTTTCCACACTGCTTACACTCATAGGGCTTCTCTCCAGTATGCGTTCTTCCATGAATCTGAAGGGAAGTTGATGTAGCAAAGGCTTTGCCACACTGCCTACATTCATAGGGCTTCTCTCCAGTATGC